TTGAATCAGAATCTCTTTATGCTTGTTGACTTCTGAAAAAGCATGCCTTATGTCACTTATCTCTTTACATCTTAGTCATACAATAAGCCAGTAACTTACCTAAAACAGAACATTCTTGCAACAGAGAACAAATTACAAAACAAAATTGTTTATCCTTATTGCAGCAGTTTACTGAATGGTATTGAAATATCCAGTCGCCTTTTTCCCTGAGGTAGCACACATTATTCTTGGATTCTTTTCTCTTTTTTCCTTTTTACTGTCATAATTACGCGTTATATTTAAGTCGTATTTTAATATTTATCAAATTTGTTCGTTAGGCCATGGATGAAGATGCCTTAAGTCTCTTAAAATGGCTTGCATCTTCTCAAGCTGCAGAAGATATCAATTCAGATGATGAACTTGCTCGGGAAACAATTTTGAGTCCCTTACTCCCTTCCAAACACATTGAGAAGGTCTTAGAGAAAGCCAATGTTGACTATGAAAGTGAATCGCAGAAAGAGTGTCAGGACATCCTTGATTCTATTGATATGCTTAATTTCGAGAAATCTGAATGCAAAGCCTCTTGTCCTGTGGAGGTTAATCAGTCATTTGAATCTCTGTTAGATAGAAAAATACCACAAGTGGATGGCTCCAGTGATGACTTACAGCCAGTATCTTGCCAGGACAAAAGTGAAGCAAAGGCAAAGCCTCATGTGGAACGCCAATCATGGCCGCAATCGGGTTCGACCTTTATAGGTAAGAACAGAATGAAGAGACCTCGCTGGGGTTCTTTGCCTATCTCTCATCAAAGAGCAAATGACAATGTTCCTCCTGATACATTGTGCATTCCCAAAGGAATTGAAGAGAGAAAAGAAGGTTCAGGAACTTCATGTTTGGGGGATGAATCAAAAAGATCTTTAATTGTACAGGATGATGAGCAGAAGGGTATTAGTTGCATGAAACAATCTAGTGCTGGATTGGCATGCTCACCAAGGGATTTGATGAGGAGAAAACGGTCACATAGAACTGAAATCTTTGAGAGTAGAAGTCAGGAAGACTTGAAAGCAGAATCATGCCCTGATGCTGAGTGCCTGATGGGATATATTAATCCTGACTCAAAGTTATGTAACAGTATTCAAGATCCAAGGGATGTTATTTCGATTTTGCATAATTTTCCAATGAAAAACGAGGATGCGAGGGTGTGCCATGAGGCTGTCCATTTAATGACAACCACTTCTTCTATTGCTGCCATTGAAGTGTCACCTCTGTCATCCAGTAAAGAGAACTTAGAGGAGGGAAATCTGGCAAAGAATACGAATCCGGGGGATGTGGGATATGACTTGTGCCTTGGTCCTAACGAGCTCGAACTTGCTTGTGTTTCAAAAACTGAAGTTGTCTGTGAAGATTATCCTGGTTTGTTTGAGCCTTGTGGGACATCAGAAAACTTAAACAAGGAATATGAAACTGAAAACCTAATTGGTATGACCTTCTCTGTGAGACCTCCAACTATAAATTGGACAGATGAGCCCACGAGAGAAGGCAGTAACATTCATACATCTATTCAGGGAGATATTGCAGATAATTACCTCCCTTTTTTCTCCCCAGAGAAAGTACTTGATGGTGTTAGCCCTAGAAAGTGCAAAAGTGATGGAAACCGAGAACCAGTACTGGGTGTTCCTACACTTTTTCAGAATGATGGGTCATATTTATTCATGCTGACCCCTGCTGCCTCACCTCCATCGACAGAATCTGTTAACAGATGGCTAACATCCAATTCCTCTAATAATATCTTGGAGCAGAAGACAAACGTTCCATCACCCTTTCAGAATATGGTGGAGTTGCAGGGTTCTCAAGCTCACAACGGCGATTCCCCTTTGCCTGAGTGTGCTCCTTTGTCCGGAGAAAAGCTTGATCAAAAGAACGGCACTGTGGAAGTTGAGAGTATTAATGTGAATAAGAAAAATATATCAACTGCCTGCTCGATGGACATTTCTCAAATATCCGGCCCAGATAAGAATACGAGGCAGACTCCATTGAGTCAAATCGGTTTCCGTGATCCAGCAAGTGATGGTCAAGGGCAGCAGCTAACGTTGATGAGTATAGAGGTCCAAGCTGAATCCCGAGGAGATTTAAGACCTGACCCGCGATTTGATGCCATCAATATCATTGTTCTTGTTCTTCAAGAGGACAATGAATCTACACTTGACACCCTTGTGCTTCTGCGTGGTGGATCTTTTTATGCTGAGAAAGACCTTGACGCTGTTTCAGGGTCCACGGTCTCTGTTTTTACTGAAGAACAAGAATTGCTTAAACATTTTATAAAAATTGTTCATGCTACTGATCCAGATGTTTTGATGGGTTGGGACGTACAAAGCGGTTCTCTTGGATTTTTGGCCGAAAGGGCTGCATTTTTGGGTGTTGGCCTGCTAAATAGTATATCAAGGACACCTTCGCAAATAAATGTGCCTCCTGGAGATTCTGACACTTCTCAGAAGGAGATGGGGGCATTGTTTTCCCAATCAGTAACTGCTGAAGCAGTCCATATTGAAAATACATTAATAGAGGACGAGTGGGGAAGAACACACGCAAGTGGTGTTCATGTAGGTGGTAGAATTGTGCTTAACATTTGGAGACTGATGCGGAATGAAGTTAAACTCAATATGTACACAGTTGAAGCTGTAGCTGAAGCAGTTCTGAGGCGAAAAATTCCATATATCCCTTGGAAAGTACTAAAACAATGGTTTTCAAGTGGACCCGGACGAGCACGATACAGATCTATTGACTATACACTGGAGAGAGCAAAGTTGAACCTGCAGATTATGAATCAGCTCGATATGATAAATCGAACATCAGAACTTGCTCGAGTGTTTGGTATCGACTTTTTTTCAGTTTTATCTCGAGGCTCACAGTATCGTGTTGAATCGATGTTCCTTCGATTAGCACACACACAGAACTTTCTTGCCATATCTCCTGGAAAGCAACAGGTTGCCGGTCAACCAGCAATGGAGTGCTTACCTCTTGTTATGGAGCCAGAATCTAAATTTTATGCCGATCCTGTTATTGTTTTGGATTTCCAGTCTCTGTATCCATCAATGGTAATCGCGTATAACCTTTGCTTTTGTACCTGTCTAGGGAAGTTTACATCTCCAAATTTGAATATTCTTGGTGTCAGTTCATATTCACCAGATGTAAATACTTTACGCAATTTAAAACGTGAATTACTATTGACACCGAATGGTGTTGTCTATGTTCCTTCAAAAGTTCGGAAAGGGATACTACCTAGGCTGTTAGAAGAGATATTATCGACCAGAATCATGGTGAAAAAAGCGATGAAGAAGTTGGCTCCATCTCAGCTAGTTCTTCACAGGATATTAAATGCCCGACAGCTTGCTTTGAAGCTTATAGCAAATGTTACTTATGGTTACGCCGCTGCCGGATTTAGTGGACGCATGCCTTGTGCTGAGCTTGCTGACAGTATTGTGCAGTGTGGCCGTAGAACACTGGAATCTGCTATTTCTTATGTCAACTCGAATGACAAGTGGAATGCCAGAGTTTTATATGGTGATACTGATAGGTGCGTATCATGTTCTTGTTAATTCTTTTATCAATTAGTTCCCAAATGAAACTTAAATGAAAATCTGGGGTGAACTTTGCCTGTAGACACGCCATGATGATATCAATATGCATGTTTATTTTGTGCATGTTTATCTATTTTTGTCTGGGACTAAGTATATGTTTATCATCTTTGGTGCAGCATGTTTGTACTTTTAAAAGGGCGTTCTCTTAGGGAAGCTTTCACGATTGGACGAGAAATTGCATCAGCTGTAACTGAAATAAATCCAAATCCCGTCACTTTAAAAATGGAAAAAGTTTACTTCCCGTGCTTCCTCCTTACGAAAAAGCGGTATGTTGGTTATAGTTATGAGTCCCCCGATCAGAGCAAACCAACCTTTGATGCTAAGGGTGTTGAGACGGTTAGGAGAGATACTTGCGGGGCTGTATCTAAAATGATGGAGCAGTCACTGAGGATCTACTTCGAAAGTCAGGATATTGATAAGGTGCAGAGTTCGCTTTTCTTTTTCTCTTCTATGATCTTGTTTCAATCATTGCATGTGTTATATAACTTATTAAGTCTATCTTATCTCAAGTTCACCGCCGATGAACACAATAATGAACAATATGTGATTGTGTTCATCTTTCTTGTTGGCTATTGGTGGTTTATATAGTAGGAATCGTGTTTGAACTTGATAGAGGCTTGATCATTCTTATATATGGAAATCCATGTTGATTTATGCATGCAATTTATGATGCAACTCTTTTAGGTTGCTCTCTTGCTGAAAGTTTCTTCGAGCAATGCTGGTCAATTCGAAGTTTTGATCTGCAAAACATTTCAATCTCTAGTTCATCACATACTTCGCCTTTGAAAACTTGGTACCTGGTCACTACTTTCGCAAACTTCTGGCATAATATTACTGTGTATCTGCAAACTGATTTGATAAACCTGATTACGATAATCACGAGCACATAGAAAAATTTATCTTTTTTCCATTTTTCTCTAATCTGCCGGCCTTCTTAATTTCCTTTTTTGTTCAGGTCAGAGAATATTTGCAGCGCCAGTGGACTAGGATATTATCAGGTAGAATCTCTCTTCAGGATTTCGTTTTCGCAAAGGAAGTCCGCTTAGGGACATATAGTGCAGGTGCTTATTCACTTCCTCCCGCTGCAATTGTGGCCACTAAATCAATAAAATCCGACCCACGTGCAGAACCACGGTACGCCGAGCGAATACCTTATGTAGTCGTTCATGGTGAGCCCGGGGCCCGTTTAGTCGATATGGTAGTGGACCCACTTGAACTTCTGTCAATTAATTCCCCCTTCAGACTGAACGATGTTTACTATATTAGGAAACAGATAATCCCAGCATTACAGAGAGTATTTGGTCTTGTTGGGGCCGATTTGAACCAGTGGTTCTTGGATATGCCTCGACCGGCACGTGAAGCTATCGGAAAACGATATTCTTTTGCTCAGAATCCACAGAGGATGAGAATTGACTATTATTATGAATCGAAACATTGTGTTCTTTGTGGCGATTTGGTTCATGGATCGGCCCATTTGTGTCACAACTGCTGTAAGGATGAAAGAACTGTTGCCGCAGCCTTGACAGGGAGAACTTCAAAACTTGAGAAGGATTTACAGCACCTTGTTGCTGTAAGTATTTGTATATTTGGTGTTACGTATTCTCGTTCGCGTAGATTTTTGCATTTCATTTGAGTTTCATACTTAGAGTCACGTTTTATCTCTCTCTCTCTCTCGCTCTATTTAACTGGAACCTAGCTGTTTGATAACTTGTGGTTCAAAGAATGACGTAGCGAAAGCATAAACTATTGGGAGAATCAAGAGAAAACTCTCAATATATTTTATTTCAATCAAAACTCAACTCCCTCAAAACAATAGAATAAGAATCTTAAATAGAACTCCTAAAACCGTAAGTAAATAACTTGCCCAGCAAGCAAGTAAAGGACTGGGACTAGGATAAATAAATAAATTGCCTACGAAATCTACGATGCAAATAATTATAATAAAATAAAGAAAATAAATAATTAAACTAATGATCTAAACAGTCATGCTTGTCCAAAAAGGCCATCACAATCTCGTCTCCAAAATGTATCGTATTTGTCGTTACATATTCTCATTCACGTAGATTTTGCATTTCATTCGAGTTTCTACTTAGAGTCACCTTTTAACTCTCTCTCTCTCTCTCTCTCTCAAGCAGATATGTCGTCATTGTGGGGGCGGAGATTGGCTGGTCGAAAGTGGAGTGAAATGCCAATCACTTGCGTGCTCGGTTTTCTACGAGAGAGTCAAAGTCCAGAAGGAGCTGATGTCACTCACTGAAGTTGTTACCAAGTCTGGTTTGTACCCTAAGTGTATGGTAGAGTGGTTTTAACTTTTAACTCTAAATACAAGCAATTTGAATTTTTTTTCCTCTTTCTTAAAAAAAAAAAATTACAAAGAATTTCACATGTAATTTCCACTGATATGTAAAAAGTTACTTGCTGGTGGAACATGAAAAAATTAGGAGATTCATCATGTAAATTCCCTTTTCCACTCACTTAAGGGATTCTGATTATAGTGTTTATGCTGATATATGTATTTTCTTCATGTTGTTCTTCTCTGGGTTATACTACCAAATTTGACACAAAAATCTGATTATAGCCTCAATCTTGAGGGACATTGGCTTTGTGCTAAATTCTATTGGACTTAGCATAGTATTTGTTGTATTGTGCTCATATAAGCGATTTAGACATTTGAAGGTTTCAGTAAAAAGTGAAAACTTGCCTTGTAGCTGTCATTTGTGTAAAAACAAACCTTTAATAATCTGTTTATATATGTATATCGGATCTTCGGTCTTGGATCACTCAATGAGTTCAATCAAAATCGTTATTTCATTTATGACAATATATTTTATAATAGCGATTTTGAATTTAAATGTAAAAATTATGCCCAATCATTAGGGATGTAAATGGGTCGGGTCGGGTACGGGTTTAGCCAAACCCGAACCTGACCCGCATATAATTTACCCTACCCAAACCCGACCCGTTACCCGGTTAGTGATCTTCGGGTTCGGGTTGGGTTTTACCCGACGGGTTAGTGGGTTTTCGTCGGGTAAACGGGTAACCCGAGTTCTTAAATTTGGTTTTACACGACCCATCTCGTTTCATATGAAAAAATAAAATAAAATAATTTTACAATTAATTATAATGTAACAAATAATTTATTAACTAAATTTCACAATAAAAACTATAAAAAAATTTATATAATTTTCTGAAATAAATAATGAGATATAATTATTTATCTTTTATAGTCTATTTAATAATATAACATTTAAAAATAAAGTATTTAATTTTTTTATTGTACAATTAACAAAAAATGATAATAAAACCATAAAAAATAAAATAAAATTCAACCATTGATCAAATTATAATAAATAATCTAATTTTTAATATTAATAACACATGACTACTTTTATATTTATAATAAATTATAAATGTATATTTATATATATGCATATATAAAATTCAATGGTGGCGGGTAAACGGGTAGGGTAATCGGGTCGGGTAACGGGTTTTCCTACTATACCCGCACTCGACCCGACCCGGTGTTCGGGTAACATAATTCTACCCGAACCCGACCCGAAACCCGACCATCTCGGGTTTACCCGACCCAAAAATGCGGGTAACCCGCGAGTAACCCGGCCCTATGGGTTTTATTGACATCCCTACCAATCATGTTTCTCCACATTGTTCTAGAGCATCTACAATGCATTGAGTCTAGTCTTGTCTATGTGACATGTAAATAAACTTAAGTCTTCGATGACATGGATAAAGTTATATATAATTAACAAAATCTACTCTAATGCAAAGAGACTGAGTCTCTACTTGAGTCTAAAACAGACTTAAGGAGAGACCGGGTCTCCTTTTCTAGCTGTCACATTAGCAGGGCCCAATCTGCATTTATTTGCATTGGAGAATATATTTTTTTAGACTTGGTCTATTTCTTATGTGGCATATGCTTTTTAGTGATTGAACTCAAAGTATTGTGGATGCTCAGTAACCTAAGATGGGTCTTATATATTTTTTTTAACATTGTTTCGTTTGGATTGATTAAATTAATCATTCTATAGTTAAACATTGTATCCCGAAATTTGAGCAATAACTAAAATTAATTATTTCGATGAAACTTACAAACATAAACATATATTTGATAACTTGATATGCCTGCAAAAGCTTAAGAAAACAGATGGAACGAAATAGACAAGTGTATAAATAATGGACAACGAATATATATTACGAATAATATTAAACTAGTACTCTCATCTTAAAGTATGATAAGTTAAATATAACGTAAATAACTTGATATCACATTTTATAAAATTTGATCATTAATAAAATTGAGCAATATGGAATATAAAATTTATTGGTACATAGTTAAATAAAATGTAATACATATGTAAATTATGCAATCTTGAGGATCATAACTAATTAACTAGTTGAAAAAAATATTAAAATTATCGGTATTACTATAGCAATTAATTTTAAGGATTTTCTATGTCATTTGAACCATTAATTAATTTTAAATTTTAAAAAAATCACTTCATGAGAGACAAAAAAAAGATTAATATTAATTTAAAATAAATAACTTTAGAAAATACAATTATCTAACTTTCATATACCCCTTAATGTAAGCTTATAATTAATTATATTAAATAATAATTATTACATGTAAAAAATGATTATGCTACAAAATGTAACTGATTGTTTTCATAAATAACTGAGAAAATGAGGCTTTTTTTTTTTCTTATTTAACATTAATCAGATAGCCAATTTTAATGAATTGCATGATATACATAATATTCGATGTGGCAGAAATATTAAATAAAAATAAATTTACTTTTAGTTTGGGGTTTTAGGCTCTCTGTGACTGAGTGAAGGTTTTCGCATTCCCCTTTCCATGGCGGGGTTTTAATCACAGAGCTCGATTGTTCTTCTCCCGAAAACCTAAAATGGCACCGTCTCATCTTCTCTTGAGGCGTCTCAAATGCTCTCAACCACTCTCCCTTTACCCCTTGTCCCGATTCCCAACCGCCGCCGTGGGCATCTCCACCGCCGCCGACTCCGCCACCCAATCCGCCCCCGCAGCCAAACCTCCGTCACTCTCCGCCCGCATGAGCTTCATCTTCGATCAAATCGACGAAATCGACAGGAAACGAGAGGAGAAGGACGAATCCCTGCAGCGCATACGCGCCTGGCGCGAGTCGAAGAAACAGCAGGAAGGTCCAGTCGTGAAGACGCCGGCGGAGGATCTGAAGGCGGAATTGGAGAAAAGCGAAGCTCTATTGTCCGATAGAAGTGGTGCTAAGAAAGAGGTGGAGCTGGTGCACCCGTGGCCTGAGTGGGTGGAGCTGATGGAGAGGCTCGTGCAGCAGAATTACTTTGATCACAGGAGGAAGGACGAGGATGGTATGATGGAGGGCCTTGGATTCCACGTGCCAGAGGCCACTGCTGAGGAAGACAACAGGCTGCTCGACTTCACTCGGAATTTCAAGACCGTACAGTCCGCGATTGTTAATTTCGGCCGCGACCGTTTTGATATCTTGAGGTTTTGGTTTTTTATTTTTCATTGAAAAGATGGTACTTTTTGATGCTTTTCTTGTGTGTGTACTTTGTAGAGTCACTTTGTTCAGATTACATGGTGTTCGATGAAATTAAATTAAGAAATGGTAAAAAATGCAGAATCCATGGTGATATAGAGATGGGAGATTATGATAATTTTTCTGCAAGTCATTGTAACCGAACAGTAGTCTGACTTCAATACAACGGAGAAACTTTGATGGCAGTAAATTGCAAGTTAAATAGCCTACCTTAGAAGGACAAGTTGGACAGGTTATGAGTATTGAGTAATTACTGGGCAGTTGGTAGAAATTGGCCTGTCCTCTAAGGAAGTGTTGCTGAATTAGGTAGACTGATTGATTTGTCGTAATATATTGTTTTCACGTGTTTTTCAGTGTGTAAACAATTTTGCTTTCATGCAGCAATTCTTGTGATTTGTACTTGCTTCTAATGTGTGTGTGTACATATATATGTACGAACAACGATGAAATTTAATGAACTGTAAATTGTATTTGGGGTCTATAGGAGTTAGAACCACGCTTTAGTGGTCTCCTGTTCTTCCGTACCCGGATGTTTTAGTTTCTTCATGAATGGTGATTTCTTCTTCAACTGACGTGTTTCTATTAAGTAATATCTTGACTATCGTTTCTGGCCTTTTTTTTTGTAATCGTGCTACAAATAGTTTCCTGTAGTACTGATGTTTGGATTCTCTCAAAGCAAATTCTTTTTTACTTTTTGCCTACTTGAAGCATTATAAGCTGCTGCATATAATCCGTTTGCCAGAATTTGTTGTTTACTTTCGAGATTGTAGATTTTAATTTTTCTTATGAAAGTTGACAAATGATGAAATAAATATGCTTACATTCATTTTGACATTGTGTAAGTGCTTTATTTTGGGTCTGACTTGTACCTCAGTTAAAGGTGTCGGGTGATGTAACATGCTTATGATGCTTTTCTAGTATTATATTGTTCTATCAAATGTCTTGATTTAAAGAAAAAAGTGGAGAAAAGAATATTTAATTATCTATTTTTGCGGTATACAAGCAACATAAGTACAGAGTATATGCTAGGACCCCATACTCAATCGTACCAAATGAAATTTAGTGAGGTTGCATATTCGGTATTTTATTTTCTCACATTAATTTCCTATTGAGTTGTGTTTCTTTGCGAAAATATCCTCTATTTATGTTTTTGCTTGATGTTCCTTGAGTGGGTTGGATCTTATATTCTGTTTGATTCTGATAACTTGCTTTAACGTGCCATTTTTGGTTGCTATTTTTTTGTAAATCCATTATCCCTATTACCTCTTTCTATTTGAGGCTCGCTTAGGATCCAATTTTTCCAGGTCATTGTCGAGACAGGATCTTCAAATATTGGTGGGTTATGGATGTCCAAGTGCAGATAAGAAGGTTTCATATTCGGGCAAACTGTTGAGGAAATATGTCCATTTGGATGAAGGAGATGTAAGCTTAAAGTACTATTTTATTTGTGTGTCATGTTTATTATTAGGTGTATAACACATAGTTATTCAGTCAGTATGCTGAAATATACTCTCAGGAGGTGCCAGATGTTTCATTCGAAAGATTAGCAAGATAAAATATATTTATGGATATGTACTTACAAATTTTTAGATTGATAAATACAGATCATGGAAGAATTTAGATCATCCTGATACAGGGAGCACACTTTTTTTTTTTTCTTCACGAAAGGGTGGTCATTTTTGTTTTTTCAAGTCGGAATTGCACTGTATAGTTGTTTGTTCAGTTACTATTGGAAAGGAAGGCTTTATTTGTTCAGTTTGCTGCACTATGAGACATTTTCAATTTAGCTCATTATCTCTCTCTTCATTCACATATTAAATTGTTGAGTGGTTTGGTTTTTTTACATTATCCAACACTTCATTGAGTTCTAAAGAGCATCAATCTGTTGAGGCCAATGGAAATTAATATTTGGTTAAATTCATAATGCTTAAATTTGGACTGATGGATTTGAAGCTATTGTCTCCAAATTCATAGTAATAGCTCCATCAAGTTTGTTT